TGGTGGTGTTGCAGACTGCTCAACAACCGATTCGGATCCTGCAGCGCCGTGATGAGGTCCAGCGCAGCCGTCGGGTGATAGTTCACCTGCTGCGACGCATAGTCCGCGCCTGCGCCCGGGTTGAACGTCTTGAAGAACTCGTCCCACTCGTTGTACCCCTCGGACGCCACGGGCATGGACGCCCAGAACGCCGAGTCGTTGGCGTTGATCGCGTACATGGTCTCCTGCATCAACTGCTGCTGCTGCTGCTGCGGGTGGTCGACGGGCATGCCGGATGTGGCAAGCATCTGGTCGTGCGGAGCCGTGTAGTTGGGAGGTGGCAGGTATGGAGGCGGGAGGCCGTGTGTGGTGCTGAGGCTGAAGTTGCTTGATGCGGTGGGGTCGATGGCGGACAGAGGGACGGGCGCGGCTCTGTTTCCGGGATCGTGGTAGGCGTGCTGGCCGTTTTGCTGCGCGGTGTCCATGGCGGTCGTATCGAGCTCCGGTGCGCTGCCGTGCTGTGGCGCGTGCCCAGCAGCAGCATCCAGCATGCGGTGCAGGTCAGATTCAGAAGCATGGTCCTCGATCTTGACGCCAGCGGAAGCCGGGTTGCTTGCTTGCGAGGCGTTTCCGTTCGCCGTGGCATGCTTCATGGATGGACTCAACGGTCTCGCCTGCGCACTCGCAATGCACAGGTTCCTCAGAACAGCCACGTGGTGCGAAGCGCTCCGCCATGTAGGACCGATGCGCTTCAGGTAGCGCACGCACTCGGCGAGGTAGAGCGCGCTGCTCTTGACGAGCTCAGACGATCCCTCGAGCTCGGCTTCGGTGACGCGATGCGCCTCCGGATCGCCACTGCCAGCTGCGTGCAGATCCGCTTCGTCTGCGATCGGGGCACTGTCTGCGCCAGTGGGCGGCTGCTCATGGGGAGGACCAACGGATCCTCGTCGACTCCAGATGGACGACTGACGCGCCTTGAAGACGACGACGCTCTTGCTGGCGGCGAGCGCGGCGTGAATGGTGGCAGTTTGGAAGATGAGGTAGACCCAGCTGCTCGAGATCTTGCGGATGCGGAACGACGAGCCGTAGACGTGCAGGATGTCGCACACCTCCTTGGCGGCTGCATTGCAAATGTCGAGGCCTGCGAGCTCAGGGCCTTTGTCGTGGGCGAATGGTGACACGCGACCAGCTCTCGTTGCTGCCGCCTGCCCCCTTTTGCCCGTCGGATCCTTTTGATCCTCGGCACCCACCGATGCGCTTTCGTCGGCCGAACTCGTACTGCGCTCTCGGGACCTGTTGAGCAGCCTCGGCACTCGCGGTCGGTGCAGCAAGATCAGGCAGATACAGTACCACGACCTCATCGTCAGGATCTGCGGAGGAAAGCCGCGGTGAGGATCGCACTCTTTGCGTTCGGCCGTGCTCCTGCGTGTCGACGCTGACGGAAGCAGCTCCGGCGATGTCCATGTGCCCGACCATCGGAGGTGAGACGGCAGGTCGGCGCGCCACTTGGCCAAGCGATCGTTGAGACGCAGCAGCGCCTCGTAGTCCGAGGTGCCCTTGGTACGACGACGGTCGCGCTTGGCCTGAGGGCTGTACACTTCTTCGAGGATGCGTTCGAGGATGGCCATGACCTCGGCCCACGCCTTGAAGCTGCTGAGCGCGTGCACTTTGACGCCTTCGAGGTAAGGCAGCTGGCTCTTGTCGACAAACTTGCGCGTGGTCTCGTTGAGCCACAGATCGTACTCGTCCGCCTCCTGCACCGAGGGCCAGTCTGCCTCGATCTCGGCGCTGCGAAGTTGTGCAGGCTTGTCGAGCGCAGTGGAGAGGATCTTGTCGACGATGTAGCAGGCCCAAAAGACGCGCAGCCTTTCTTGGAACTGCGCTGCTGATCGGTGTGGTTCTGCTCTACCATTGGTTGTTTTGTCCGAGGCGTCGTTGTAGCGACCGCTTTCACGGTGACCGGCAAACCCGCTCGAGCATGGGGATGATGCAGTGCAGCGATGGAGGTTCATGTCGAGAGCCATTCGACAGGCGATGCCGCCGAACTGGAATGCGCTTGAGGTATGTCCGCAGCCAAGCTCGATGACACTGACGAGAATGGCCGCCTGAATGGTGCCAATGTCCTGGGTGAACTTGCCCTCAAAGATGCGCGCCTTGACGCGCTGGAGAAAGTGGTCGCGCAGCTCGTTGGACTTGTACGCTGGCTCGGTGCTTTGCGGCGATTCAGCGTAGAGCATCTCGAGGACGGGGATGGAGCTCTGCTGGTCGTCCTTGGAGGCCGAGTCGAGGTAGGCGTCAAAGGTGTTGGAAGCGACAGCCAGGATAGCTTCAAACACGACTGGTCGAGTATGACGCAGCGAGTGCAGAGAGGCGATGGAAGGCAGATAGACGATGGGCCAGTGTGGATGGACAAAGGTGATGTAGATGTCGAGAAGTCGCTGGAGGATGTGGGCGGGCAAGCGATCCTCGAGATGCAGCTTGGACGAAGAGGGATGCAAATGGTCAGCAGCGGCAGGACTGTAGCGGGCGTGGTGCTCGTTCCAGTGGGTGCCTGGAGAAGACACCTGAGAGCGCGGTCCTGAAGCTGGGCCCAGCGGTGAAGGAGGCTGCGAGCCAGCATACCAGGATCGATGGTGCAACGCGGCCATGGACGGACTGTAGCCGTGGGAAGCATTCGTGAATGCAGGCGACGACGATTCCAAGCCTGTGCTGGGCTGTGGAGTGGAAGCAGCCCACTGACCCGCCGAGGGCGCTGAAGTGGTGGCGGTCTCGGTGAGTCTGCTAGCTGAAACGGGATGGCGCCTGGTCAGGGAGGACGCTGATGGCAGCGTCGAGGCCCTGTCGTAGGCAGACGCTCCAGACTGGTGGTGGCCTGCGGGACTGTCGTGCAACGTGCGACTCGGATGCGGGCGAGGCGAAGGGTATGTAGAGGTCGAGATGGCCGCATTGGATCGAGCTGATGTCAAGGAATGCACGGCTGCCTCTGCAAGGGACGCGTGAGGCTGCGGCGGCGGCATGGAGCGATGAGACGGCAAGGGCGAGGCGCGAGGGTAGTCGCGCAAGGGTGCTTGCAGAGGGTAGGTATCGTACGAGTGCGACGTCGACGCTGTCTGATGCTGCGAGTGGCGGTCGGTAGATGAGGTAGATGGCCAGGAATGATCTGAATGATGATGATGATGATGATGTTGATGGTCGGGATGGTGATGTGCTGGATGCTGCGGCTGCAGATAGTGATGAGCGTGGCTGGTGGAGCTGGCTGACGCGCTGTCGACGCGATGAGGCGAATGTCTCGAGTAAGGAGGGCTAGAGGTGCTCGGCGGCTCGAAGGAGGTTCTTGACCAGGAAGAAGGAGGATCGCGTGGCTGGTAGGAAGTCGATGCTGGTCTGTCATCCGACGCGAAGCGTGCATCGAAGGATGCCTTGGCCGAGAGCGAAGAAGCCACGGCGGGCTGCGATGTGGGATAGGCCTCTCGCTTGGGAGGCGTGAGAGGCGACCTGGGCAGATCCGGGCGGCCGAGAGTATGAGCTGCAGGAAGGTGTTCAGCGACATTTGAGCCGCGAGATGGGAAGAGGGAGCGAGGTGCTGCTGAGTCGACTGCGGTGGATGGCGGCGACACCTTGGTTGGAGGCGATGGCTTGGAGTCAGCCGAGGAAGGCTCGAGCGCCCTTTTCTTGCGACCGCCCCTTGGATCGCAGCCTTTGGGTGGGCCGCGCTTCTTCTGAGCGCCGTACTCGCAGAGGGACGAGTCTTTGGAGCAGTTGTTGCATGGCTGCAGACCGTCACACTTGACCTTGCGACGCGAGCAGGAAAGGCAAGCTCTGCTGGATCGAACGCGGCCCGAGTCGGTGGCGTTGGGTTTCGAGTCCGGGGAAGACATGTTGATCGACGACGACGATGACGAGCGATGATGATGGCGAAGAGGATGGTGGACTGAGCGGCACGATCAAGCGCTTCGATGGATGGCGAAGGTGAGCATGACCGCGGCCTAGTCGAGATGGGGGTGATCGAAGAGACGCGAGTCAGCTGGATGATGAGGCAGCACTTGCTGCGTGTGGGAATTGCTTGTCGGAATGAGCGATGCTAGCGATGCTAGCGATGCTGAGCTGTCGGATGATCCGCGGTTGCTACGAGTGCGTGAGAGTGTCGGAGTGAGATTGTCGGCAGGACCGAGGATGTAGGCAAGAGAGTTGACGGTTGCTGAGAGAGAGAGAGACGGAAAGGCCGAAGCAGCTGCAGGCTTATAATGGGAGAGAGGGAGAGAGAGAGAGAGAGGTGGAGAGGAGCGCTCAAGACCCTCGCAGGCGCCGACTGATTGCTGCCTGCGCTCCTTGTCTGAGACTGAACTTTGTTGCTGTGTGCGGCAGCTCTGCAGCTCGAAGAAACAAGATGAATCGACGTCGGTGGGGCGGAATAGAGATAGGTGTGAAGTGTAAGAGAGAGACGGAGAAAGAAGAGCAAAGCTAGTTGCTGCGCCAGAGAAATTCATGAATGAGCTCACGCGGACCGGCAGGGTTCAACAAGTTCTTGCCTGCGCAGAGAGCTTGCCTGCAGCGGCCAGCCACACACACGCACCAGGCTTTTCCCTCTGCATGTCGCGGAGGCGCACCGGCGCATAAATAATTCAGCGCAGCGCAGCGCAGCCGGCCATTCGTTCATCTTTTGACCCTCTCTCTCTCAGCCAACGCCGGCCATTTCGCCCCACACTTTCTCACCCGCAGAATAAACTCAACCGGTCATTTCTTTCGTCCTTTCTCACTCTGCGTCGAATCGCCTCCAGTCGACCCATGCACCGTCGCACGCATGCTGCTGTCTCTTCAGAGCGTTCCTGGGCTTCTTGCACGTCATGGCGCAGAGGACCTGTGCAGCATCGAAAGAAGGAACCAAAAAATAGAATAATAAAGAATAATGACAAAAAGAAATTGCTCCTTACCTGGGTCGAACAGGTGACCTCCCGATTGGCGCGCAGAGCCGCCGATATGCAACTCGCCACACCCACTGCAGCAGTGGCAACTGAATCCTTCAGTCGGACGCTCGTACCAACTGAGCTAAAGAAGCTCGATATCGTAACGGGTCAAATGTAGCATATATGATCCACACAGATCAGTCCTCTTCCGTGTTTGAGCTCGGTCTCCGGCACAAGGAGATGCCGAGCATGCTTGTGGTCGGTGCGAAGCGTTCTTGGCCAGATGATGTTCGGTTCGGAGGTCCAAGATGGACGCTCAACATCGTCAAGGGGCGCGGTTGGGCGAGGTTGAGCGGGTTGACGAGCATCAAATCAGCGTGGTGTTGGATCTCGGTGCCAAGGCGGCGTGCAACCACACACTCGTTTGCATGTCGGTAGCAGCAGCAGCAGCAGCGATTCATTGCTCGTTGCATGTTCGGCTTTGGACACCAGCCAGGAAGGGTCTCGAACAGACCGCACGGGCGGGGACACGCGGGACAATGATCTGGACGCAGGCGACTAGCCGCCCAAGACTTATCGCAGGCAGCTCTGCATGGGAATTTTTGGTCGGAAATTAGAGCGTTGATTTAGCAGTGCTTCGGGATTGCTCTCTTCTTCTCGTTCACACGCTTCACGGGCCGAGCCTATCTTTGCTTTGTCTTGGACGTCTCTCTTTGGCATCCGGCGGCTCTTCCGATCTCGGTCTTGTACTGCGATACGCTTTGCCTTGCAACAACGATCAGCATCATCGACAGGGACACTGCACAGAGCCCATCTCATCCGCTCTGCCAATCGGCCCACGCGACACTGCATTTAAGCAACAACTGCTCGACCACCACACACTTCCAACGTTGAGCTTCGGTGAACGACTCGTTGCCATCGAACCCGCTTCGGAACTCGACGATCGACTCACTTTGATTCATCACAACGCGAAGAGCTTATACTGTGTTTGCGAACAACGAACGCATCCATCGCTCGCCCGTTGTCACATTCGTATCGGCAACCGCGCTTCTCCACCTCTTTGACCATCGCCTCAGCTGCCGGCCTGCCCGAACTTGATTTCATATTCCAGGCGCGGAGCCTCAACTTGCCATCGGAACCTCGAGCTTCTTTCGCCACCCACCCAACCCCATCGATTCGCGTCTCGCGCACATCTTCCCACACGCATCACCGACGCAAGCCGCGATCGCTCGCATCAAAAGCTTCGTCATCTTGCTGCCGCATTCGCCCATTTCGCCGCTCTGAATGTGCTGCAAACTAAGCGCTCGCAACCGCAGTCAGCCTCCGATGCACGTCGCCTCGACATAAAGCAGAGGGCCACCCGACTGATACAGTATCGCATCTCACGCCGCCACCTCGCACCTTTGCTCATCATGTCGTCTGCGGATGCTGCCGACTACGGATTCAAGCGATTCCGCGTCGCCAGAGCTTGCGTCGTCTGTCGTCTGCGCAAGACTAAATGCAACGGCGAGCAGCCATGCGATCGATGCAAGGCGCACTCGGCGGAGTGCAAGTACGAGACCATCGAAACGCCCGTCCCAAAACGCGTCAGTCGCACCGGTTCCACATCCTCCATACCCAGCAATGGCCGAGCATCGCACCCGAGGGACAGCAACGACGATGCCAACAGCGACGACGCATCCGCAACCGATGCCGCCGAAGCCAGAGCTGCTAAGCGCCAGAGACGTGCCATGATCGATCAGATTGCAGATCGACGTTGGGGCGATCGCCATCCTGCTGCGCGTTCCTCCAACAGCTCTCGCAAGCCTGGATACGTGCAGCACCACCTCGAACTCTACGCCTCGGTCGACCAGGACGAACCTGCCGACCAAGACACCGACCTGCACACCGAGGACGGCATTCGCGCGCACGACCAGAACACGGGCAACATGCAGTTCTACGGATTCACTTCCAACTTTAACTTTCAGCACCGACTCGCTCAGACCGTGGAAGCGCTCCGTTTGCGGGAGCAGCACCAGCATGGAGGAAGCAGCAGCACCAGCGGCGCCTCGAGATCGTCAGCAGCAGCCTTGGCGAATGGAGGCAACGACGCCTCCCTGGCCTCCTCTCCCGACAAGAGCCGCCGCTCCCACTTGCCCGAGAGCATGAAGATTTGGGGCCATCAGGACATCATCTTCCGTCAGACCCTATCCGAAAAGAGCTTCCCCACGCTCGATGCCACCAAGGATTCCGTCGGCGATTCCACCTTCTTGCCTCCGTCCATCGTCGATCGCTTCATCGAAAACTACATGACCCTCATCCAGCCACAGCTCGGTGCAGTGCCCAAACGACAGATCATCAAGTGGGTCAAGGACGCAAAGGCGCTCGGCTACCTCTCGCGCGGCTTTTCAGGCGTTCCGTCCATGGCTGCATCCGGGCCTGGCCATCACGGCAACAGCAAACTCCAGCCAGGTCAGAGACCCGGTCCCGTGCCCTTGCGCACCAACGAGCTCGCCGCGCTCTACGTCGTCCTTGCGCTGGGCGCTCTGATGGATGAGGGCGACTGGGAGGACTGCTTTGCGCCCGTCTCGCTCACACGCGAAGGCGCCATCGCTTGCGCCACGACGCTCTTCCTGCTCGCCAAGAAGCGACTCGAGGAGATCGTCGAGAACTCGAGCATCCAGAGCGCACGCTGCCTCGTGCTCATGAGCTTCTTCTCCCTCCAGTGGTCCAGCCCCAATGTCGCCTATCTCTACATTGGCTATGCAGCGCGCATGTGCATCTCGATCGGTCTGCACCGCGAGACCTTCTACTCGCCCAACAATCCAACTAGCGCAGAGCATCGCCAACTCTGGTGGACGTGCTACGGCATCGAGAGGATGATCTCCACCTGGTTCGGCCAGGCGACTGCCATCCGCGATGATGACGCCACGGCGTGCCTGCCTCAGCCGGACAACTCGTACGACGCCTACCTGCTCGTCTACGCGCAGGTGGCCCGCGTCTGCTCCGACATGAGCCGCCTCTCGGCCAATCCACCTGCCAACGCTCACGACGTGCTGCTGGCCTCCGAGCGCATGGAAGCGGAACTGCTGCGCATCCGACACGAGGCGCCCAAGGAACTCGCCATTGGACTGCGCGACGGCTACAGCCGCGACGCCGACGACGACTCGGATTCGTCGGATCTGGTGGTGCGCCGCTACTCGGTCACCATCCTGTGGTGGTATCTGCACCTGCTCGTGCACAGCCCCTTGGTCATCTTTGCGCTGTACTGCCGCTCCATGGGCACCGACATCCCACGCAGCGTGCTCGACAAGACGCACTCGTCGGCACGTTCGGGACAGCAGATCATCGATGCCATCGTCAACGCGCGCAGCGACATGCCGCGGCCGGGCCTCGACAATATGCGGTTCGGCAGCTTCTACCTCGACTCGGCCTGCACCATCGTGCTGGCTGCCGTCTTGTGCGATCCGAGCAACCAGGAGATGGCGTTTGTGTACTTGGCGGCGATCGACAGGGCGATCAAGTATCTCGAGAAGAAGGAGCGCATCTATGCGGACCACGGCACCACGGCGTCGCTGCACAAGGCGAGAGATCTGGTGGTGCTGGCGAGACAGGTGGTCCGAGCAGCAGCGGGACAGTCGGCGAGTGCTAGGGTCAATGATCAGAGTGTCGCGAGGGGCAAAGCTGCTGCAGCAGCAGCCTCGGCAGTCGCATCAGCCGCTTCGGCCAACGGAGGGGCCGGTGCAATCGGCAGCAGCTCTGCAGATGCGGCCGTCAGAGTCTCGCAAGCCGGCCACAGTCGTCTCACATCCACGTTCTCGACCAGCTCGGAACGCGGAACCGCATCGGCTGACGCGGACGGCAATGAAGGAGAGAGTCGAGATGGCAACAACGACGCCACCGGCACTGCCCAACGGTTGGCCATTGCAGGCGATGCAGACGCAGAAGGGCGCGGGGGACAGAGAGGCACTCCCACCGAACTGTCCGTCTCTTCTCTGCTGGGCCCGACCGCGACGTCGACCGGCACAGCGTACAGACCGCAGTCGGGCACCTCGCCGAGCACAGCCATGGCATCGGAAGCGGCGCACGCCGAGGGCAAGAGCTATGCGCACGAGCGGGACGAATGGATGCAGTACTTCCTGTCCAACTTTGACTGGCTCTCTCAGCCGGGCACGACACCGCAAGCGCTCGATCCCAACGGCAGCAGCACGCACATGTCGCCGGCAATCACAGCAGCTGGCACGCCCGACACGGTGGGCAGGATGTTTGCGTCGAATCATTCAGCCGGAAGAGGAGACGGAGTGTCGCTCACCTCGCCAGGGCTGGGCTCGCCTGGGAGTGCGGGTGGGCCGGCTTCGTTGAGCGAACTGGATATTGGGCTGCTCATGGGTGGCGTGAGTGTCATGGAAGGCGGCAATGATCTCAACGATTTCAACCGCGGTGCGGCGGCAGGACCCGGGGCTGGCGGCAATGCGGGCGGTGCTTCGAGTGGATACGCTTCGTGATGGTGCGTATAAGTGCAATTGCAAGTGACTGGCGGTCTTTGTTTGCTTACGATGCATGTGCCTCGAGCATGCTGTGTGAAGGGAGCACAGGTCGTGCCCGGCAAGAACAAGCCGAATCTTGTATTGGCATGTGGGGGAAGCAGTCGTAAGGCGGTGCGGTGCTTCTCTCTTGGCGCTGCTTGGCGCGTGTTCAAAAGAGCAAAGGCTGTGCTGCGTTGCACAGAACACGCACAGACCCTGAAATTCCGCATTCCGCATTCCGCACTCTCGTGTCCCTCTCTCCTTCACACCTCCATCAACCCATCACCAGCCCATCCCAACTCGATCCAGCAGAAGCTTCACACGAGTCATATCAGACGGTGCTTGCATCTCGAGGAACTTCCATCTCTGGAAAGCATCAGCAAGCAAACATGGCCGACTCTGGTGGAGGAGGAAGCGGCGGGCTCAGTGGGGGATCAGCTCAGAACCCTTTCACCATTCCTCAAAGCACACCAGCGGTATACGATGCATCCAGGTCCAATGCAAACCCCTCGTCAAACCGTACAGCAGCAACATCCGCGCGGGCAATAGGCACAAACAGCGAGGAAGCGCAGTGGTCCCTCAAGGACATCTTCTGGCAAGGACGCGAATGCAAGATCATCACCCAAAATCAGAACGGACCCTGCTCG